TTAAACTCTTTATCAGGCATATTGCTTATCTCTGTTTCATTTAGTCTTTTTCTGAGGTTTTTGTCTTGTTCTGTTATTTGAAGCATAGTCCTCTGTCTCCCCATTTTGCTTGATTTTCTGTATTTGTTACTATGAATTAGAGCAGCTACTTATCCTAAACTTGAAAGAATGGTCTTGTTTATGGTCATCCCCTGTGTACACTGTGTGTGCCTGGTAAATTGGAGGGGCTGGATAGAGTTGTAGCTTGTGTGATCTGTGGGTCCTGGAGCACTCCACACGGGGGCTGCCCTGGTGGAATGGCCACAGCTGAAGTGTGTCTGGGTCAGGTCATTCGCTGTCCACATAGAGAGTACCCTGGTAGGACAGCTGACCACTATCTAAGTGGAGGGGGAGCATAAACTCAATAGCCTGTCCAATCTGGAGAGATTTCTAGGAGCTTACCCACCATTTAGTAGAGTTCTAGGGCTAGATTTTTTTTTTTTAAATATCCTAGTTGCCCTTTTAAACCATGGCTTATTTTCTTGCCCCAAGGCAGATGAATCTCTTCCTGGACTCTCAGTACTGTGCCTCCCCATTGTAGTTCACAGTGTCAGGGGTGGGGGTTCCCTTAATTACTGTGTCTGCCTCTCTCTTGCTGTTCTCTATGTGGTTTCTTTATCTTTTGTTATGCAGAAGCTGTTCAGTCATCCCTCAGTTCTTCAGGAGGAACTATTCTATTAATATTTGTAGATTTGGTGTGGCCTTGGAGAAGGTGAGTTTAGGGTCTTCCTACATCACCACTGTGGAATGGAATCTCAGTTTTCTTTATCAACTGCTCTATAATGACCTTACCTGGGGTATCTGGAATAACTCCTATCTGCTCCACATCTTTTCATCCTTTATTAGGCTAGCCTGGGTGTGTTCTTATGTGATGGCAAAAGGCAAGAGCTAGAGTGGAATCTTATAAGGGTTTTTGCAATTGCCTGCTTTATGTCATTCCATTGACTAAATCAATTCATGTGATAGAGCCCAATAGGGAAGTATTTGGATCATTCATGAAGTCATTCTACCTTATTCTAAGGCAGGGAAACTTTTCTATGCAAGCAAAAAAAATGACAAACAGTAACTAGTACATATTCATAGTCTTGAGACATGGGCAGTCAAAATCAATTTGTAAATGTTCAAAAAGGTCTTAAGGGGGAGAGTGTGAACCATATCTTATCTAGGGTATGCTATTTATAAGTAAGACAAGATTCTACTACTCCCTTGACAAATTTTGAAAAGTTTTCCAAACCTCTATTTAATGTGGAAACTACTTTATTGATTCCATAATGGGAATAGTAATGGAGTAATTTGACCAGGGTCCATTGGATGGATTATGGCACTTCTGGACAGCCATCCTCAAATTACCAGAATCCAACTCTAGGGATAGATCATCTTTTGCCAGTATTACTTTTCAGTAGGTTGAGCTCAGAACTGTGAGTTAATTACAACTTGTCTAAATTGATTCATTTTTATCTGTAGATTTGGTGGTGATAAATATAAATTTAACAACACTTAATATTGGCTAGGGTGTTAAAAAGCCATAAACTTCATTTAACGTGTACGTCAAAGCAAAGATATTATTCTTGGCTTCTAGAGTGTTCTCTAGACCACTGAAGTGGTTTTTTTCAGTTCTTAACACTTATCTCCTTGGGATATTGACAAAGTTCTAATAAACCATGATCTTTTTACCATTTTTAATAAACATATTAGAAGAAGAGGTGATAAATCATCAGTTTTCATAAAATTCATGAATCATAAACCACCCCCAAATCATATCTACTATCCATATGAATTTTTACCTTCATCTTTTGCCAGAGGGCAGGCTCATGTCTGAGCTATTAGTTCAGCTACCTGGGCAGACTGAGAATTAGGCAATGGAGCTGTGTTGGTGCTTGCATGTTCAGTGATAACAACATATCCTGCACAGAGTATGCCTTTGTTGTTTTTTTGATGAAAGCCATCTACAAACTAATTTAAATTGAGTTTGACTAAAGGGTGCAAGATTCAGATATGGGCATCATTAATTCCTGAGAGAATGCTAAGTGGTCATGTGGTTCCCCTTCACTCTAAGGAGGGAATAAATTTATAGGATTAGATTTTGAACAACAGTGGATAGTAATATGTAGAGCAAACAAACAGTAAGATTTCATATGTGGTAAATTTGCTAATATAAATGTCAAGTGTTGCCTAGAAGTAGCAAGATTGGACATATGTGGAAATAAAGAAGCAAGCACTAAGGTGGAAGTGTCAACAAGTTTAGCCAGTGCTGCCACCACATGCAAGGAAAGAGGATGGACCTTCATCTCCAAATCAAGGAATATGCTAAGATGGACAATCACTTCTGGTGTAAACTATTCTGTTTAGTTAACATTTTGTGAACACACAGAAGGGGTTGGCATATTTAGGACAAAGGTGGAGGTTGTTGCAAAGAGGCTTTCAAAGAGTAGACAGCATTTTTAACTTTCACATCCCAAGAAAGAGTTTCAGGAATTGTAAACTTAAGGCTATTGAGAAAAAGGAGATCTACATTACCTACAGTCCTAAAAATCTTAGTTATCTTTTAATTTTTGACTTTGGTACAATTGCATATTCTTTATTCTGGTTGAGGACAAAAACTATCCATCTGGTCCCCAAAAATGTAGTTTCTTGGCAGAGTTGAACTTTCTTTTAGATGCTTTTTGTCTCTGTTCAGCTAATTAGTTTAAGAGAGATTTGTAGTCTTCGGGTAAGCTATATAGATCAGAAAACACAGCAGTAAGTTATCTTTGTATTGAGTCAAGGATGGACTCTTGGAGAAAATTCAAATCCTTGAGACATTTTTTTTAGACATATAAAGAAATATGAGGTGATTTTTTAAATCCCTGAAGCTTACCCATCCTGGTATATTTACATATAGAGAAATAGGAGGTGATTTTTTAAATCTCTGAAGCATAACCATCCAGGTATATTTTTTCATAAAAAAGCAAATACTGACTATCCTTAAGTGTGGGTATGCTAAAGAAGGCCGCACATAAATTAACCACTGTGAAATGTTTACTTATTGAGAGAATGAAGGGCAAGACAGTATTCTAATGGTTGTGTGATATTTCATTAGTGCTATAATCAACCTTGAATGTTGGATATTTAGGTGTCATCAATATTAATAATGCAGCATCAGAGGCTCAAAGGCATAAAGCCTTTTCTGAATAGATTTCTAGGAGTAAAACTACCTGGTATGACATGGAAAAATAGTATGACTATTTTTAGGGTTCTCAATATGTATTGCCAAATCCAAGGGATTATGTCAGCAATAAATCAAACGTTTTATTTTCATGCCATCTTTGTGAGCATTGGATTTTCTCATTTGAAAAGGAGAGGGCTAATTTCATGGGTGAAAATGGGATTTCATTGTTGTTTAGACTTCTCTATTGGTGAGGCTGAACATTTATCTATATAGGTTGTTATGCAATTAGATTTTCTCTTTTATGAATTTATTTATGTCCTAGGCCCACTTATCTATTGGCTGAGGGAGTACTATTTAAATTGTTATGAGTTACTAGTTTATACTAGTATAACTAGTTTATAGATAATGCTAGACATAGTCCCCATTCACTCAATTTTACTGAAAATTATTCTCCCCTGTTATTTGTTTGTTGTACTGTGGCATTTTTTAAAAAGGAAATTTCAAATTTTTATAAAGTCAAAACTAAATCTGTTGATCTTCCATTGATTTGATTTCTTTAATCCAAAAGAATTGATGTTCACTTAAACTTCTTAGAGATATTTGTGGGTTTTTTATATCTGATCCCTCAATCCATCTGGACTAAAATGTGCAAAGGATCTCATGAAATCTTGATGTGTACGAGTCTATTTATTCCTCCATTCCAGACTTATGCAGACTCAGAGTATTTATCTTTTTGACTTACTATTTCCTCCTGACTATTTAATCAAGTGATCATTTTGATATCTTTTCTTTTTCTCAATATGAAGCTAGTAAACATTGCTCAGGGTACTATACCCATCAATTTTTTACAGTCATTTTGTTGTAAACAGACACATGCACGTGTGTGTGAGTTTCAAATGGATAAATTTGTTGGAAATATTGTATTAGTATGGTGATTGTAACTGTATTTTAGATCACTATTTCTTATTTGAAAAGTTATGCATATATGCATATTTGTGTGTGTGTGTGTATATATATATACGCATATGCACATACACACATATGTATTCATTTTAGAAAACATGCAAAGATAATCCAAAAAAGTCTCCATATTGCCACCACTTAACTAAAATTTAATATAATGTGTTTATCTTTTTCTATTATGCATATATACACACACAATCATACACATTTTTGCATTATTTATTCATTTAAATATTGCATAGGTAGACTATAATATCCAGATCATTATCTAAAAAACCTATCTATTGGGGTGCCTGGGTGGCTCAGTTGAGCCTGCGATTCTTAGTTTTGGCTTAGGTCATGATCTCAGGGTTGTGAAATGGAGCCCCACATCAGGCTCCACGCTCAGGGGGAGTCTGCTGAAGATTCTCACTCCCTCTCCTCTTCCCCCTACTCATGCTCTCTCTCTCTTTTCTAAAATAAATAAATCTTTTTTAAAAATTAAAAAATATAAATAAAAACCTATCTATTCAGAAAATAGATCTAGATAAGAATCATATATTACTGTGAAATCATAATTTTCACAAATTTACTTAAGGCTAGTTAACTGTCTCTGGTAGCTTTAAGCAATGTGTATTTATAGTAGAGGTTAATCAGAGTAGTCAAGCACAACATTGTGGGCTATTTGAAAACCATCAGTGGATGAGATAGGACTTGGAATGTACATACTCTTATATTCCCTAAATCTCCCCTAAAAGGTGGTAAGTGAGGGACAGTTGAATAAAAGGTAATGACCATTTTGGCTTACTCCTAAGGAATGGCTTATATATGCCATGTGGATTTATGTAAGATATGTGTCTATTTTTTCTAGGAAGTTGCACGGTTCCTAGATACCAAACATCAAGACCACTATCAAGTCTACAATCTATGCAGTATGTGCATGGCCAGATATTTTGCTACTATTGATTTAAAACAGGATGATTCAGTCTTTACATTTCATTTAATCATAAGTATTTGGTGGGTGATGGGAAGTGAGTTTAAAAATCTCTATCTTGCACTGGTTCTGTTTTGTAGGAAAAAAATATCTCAATAGTATAAATGCCCTGTGAGGGAGGCAGGAGGCTTAAGTTGAGGCATAGCCAATTTGGTTGAATCTGCTCTAGTGGTATTAGGTTTAGGAAAATACTTCTGTTTTTCCTGCCGGCTTGTGTTTTGAAGACAATTCACTAGGAGTGAGGTGTGAGGAGAGCAAAACCCAAATGAAAAAAATCCAAATAGTCAATAAACAAGGGAAAATATGCTAAAAAGCAAAACCCTGTAGAAAAGAGATTATATCCCCACTTACTACTCTGTCTGTTTTGTCTTTTCCTCTTCCTGTATATTAAACGGACATTTTCAGGAGGCAAGCATTCTGGTTGGCCACATTTACTTCTGCTCTGTCGTGTCTGTCTACCCTATGATAATATGATGAGTAGCCTGCTAGAAAATTAAAAGTAAGACTGTTAAACCCAAATAAGTTGGGTTTACGTTATGCAAGATGGACAAACCACTACTATATTTTTCAGACCCTTAATATTCTTAAAGCAGCAAGAACCAGTCAGAAAGCTCCTTTTAAAGGTGGATAAGGAATTTATAATAAAAAAGTATAACTTCTTCATAACTTTATCATTTACTATGTTTATTAGGCATAGATATATGACCTATGTATCATTTATTTTAGGTGAAGGAGCTTATGATCCTAAGTACTTCCATTATAGGGTCCAGCGAATCATGATCGATGATCACAACGTCCCCACTCTAAGGTAAGTTTTATGCCAAGATGGCTGTCAAAAGAAAGCTAAATATACTGGCCTTGATTTTTTGGATGCATTTTAATTCAACTAAAAATTTTACATTTAAAATCAGTGAGATGGTGGCATTCACCAAGGAAGTAGATAAGTGGATGGCTCAAGATGACGAAAACATCGTAGTGATTCACTGTAAGGGAGGCAAAGGTAAAAATATTTTTTTAATTTCTCTTTTTCTAAATAAATATTAATACATTAAAGTACAAGAACAAGATGCATACTGCTATTAGTATTAATGGTTGTTAAAATTTTCTTTGGCGGGGGGCACCTAGGTGGCGCAGTGGTTAAGTATCTGACTCCTGGTTTCAGCTCAGGTTGTGATCTCAGGGTCATGAGATGGAGTCCCGCACCAGGCTCTGTGCTCAGCGCAGAGTCGGCTTGAGTTTCTCTCTTCCTCTGCACCTCTGACCCCACCCTGCTCTCTCTCTCTCTTTCTCATCTCTCAAATAAATGAATAAATCTTTAAAAAAATAGTTGTTAATATTTTTTGATGTTAGCTTCAAGACTGAAAGAAGGGAAGGAAAGAGTAAGGAGGGACGGTGGAAGGTAAATACTAAAGGGAAGAAAATAGGAATGACAAAACTAAGGAAGGTTGAGCATATTTTTTCCTGTTTATTAACTACTTGAGTTTCTTCATTTTTGATTTGTCAAAATATCTATGAAATAAAAATGTCTAATTTTAAAAACTGTCAGAGCACTTTTATTTAAGATTGTTCTTAAACTTTGTGAGAACCTTTTAAAGTTAAGGAGCCAACAGCATTGCTATTGCAAAACCCAAAAATTATGGTGGAATTTTTATAGTGTACAGATACAATGAAGTTGATTTTTGTGAGGTCAAATGAAAAAAAAAAAGTGCAAACTCATTCAATTTAAATTGAGTTAGATTTTTCTCTCATTCAGCTTTAGGCTTTTAATAATCATCTAAGCATATTTCACAGTTTTTGACCAAGAATTACATTTTTGGTGGGTTATAAAACAGTTTTTTATTGCATTCCAGGAAAACACAATACTTTACCATATATAATCGAGTAAAATCAAGTTTTAGTGTTACCTGAAAATTAGTTTCAAGTCCATGAATTAGTAGGTAGTTTCTATCTTTAGCTCTACAGGTTGAAATATTCTGGACATGCAATTTGCAATACCGTCTATAAATGAAGGCTATAGAAATGGAACCATAGGAATTGCCAGTTTTTGACTATCTTTTATTTACAAATATGGTCATTTTACATGGCTCAACCTAAAGTATTATAATCCAAGCAATTAACTTTAGTTTCCTTTTAATTAAAACTAATTCCCTGCTTGAAGGCTAACCTTCATTTCTAATTTCTTTTTTAAATTTTTTCTGAGAAGGGACTTCAATTATCCTGTATTTGCATGTCTTGCCTTGACTTTCCTTTAGGATTGTTCGGCAGGCTGGTATTCAGCCAGCTGGTATGCACCAGAGAAGCCTCTTTTTTCAAGTTTTCATTCATACTGGTTTTGCTCTCTTCTTGCTGGTTGGTGCCTGCACATTATTTTATTATTGATTTTAGGGACTACTTTAAACTGGGTGTTGTTTTTTTTAGTATAGTTGACATGCAATGTTAGAATGAAAACACTAATTTGAAAAGATCTATGCACCCCTATGTTCATTGCAGTGTTATTTACGATGGCCAAGTTGTAGAAGCAACTCAAATGTCCATCAATAGATGAATGGATGAAGGAGATGTGGGGTGTGTGTGTACATACATTTTACTCAGCCATAAAAAATGCATGCTGTTGTTTCTGTTAGTAGTTTATATTACAACTATCAACTCCTACGTGTTGTCTTTTAACTTGATTATGATTTATTTTGTCATATAGGAGTATTTATAATTTTGAATGGAGTGAAATTTATTAGTCTTTCTGTGTGTGTGTGTGTGTGTGGTTTGTGCTTTTTGTCATGTTTAAGAAATCCAGCCTGCATACTGAAGTAGTGAAGGTATTATACTTTATAAAATATTAAAGTTTTGTTTTTTACATTTAGGTCTTTAATTGGGATTTGGGGAGGGAGGTTTTTTTTCCCATATGGATATACAATTGTCCTAACACCATCTATCACAAGCTCATTTATTCCCTGTTGATTTATAATCCCTTCTCAGTCACGTACAAAGTTTTAATAGAAGTTTGAGATGGTCTCTGAGTTCTTTATGCCACACTACTGAAATTTTTTTATTTAAAAAAATTTTTATTAAAGCATAGTTGATACACAATGTTACATTAGTTTCACGTGTGCAACATAGTAATTTGACAAGTCTATACATTATATTATGCTCCCAACAAGTGTAGCTACCATCTGTCACTATGCAATGCTTTACATTATCTTCAATTACAATACCATTGACTCTGTTCCCTGTACTGTACCTTTCATCCCCTTGACTTATTCTGTAACTGGAAGCCTGTATCTCCTACTCCCCTTCACCCATTTTATCCAAAGCCTCACCTGCTTCCCTTTGGCACCAACCACTTTGCTTTCTGTATTTATATGTCTGTTTCTGCCTTTTGTTTTTTAGAATCCACATATAACTGAAATAATATGGTATTTATCTTTCTCTGACTTATTTCACTTTGCAAAGCACCCTCTAGGTCCATCCATGTTGTCACAAATGGTAAAAATCTCATCCTTTTTATGGCTAAAGCTGTGCTGTGCAAAAGCTTTTTATTTTGAAAAAGACCCAATATTTCATTTTTGCCTTTGTTTCCCTTGCCTTTGGAGATGTGTCTAGCAAGGAAGTTGCTATGGCTGAGGTCAAAGAGGTTGCTGCCTGTGTTCTTCTCTAGGATTTTGATGGATTCCTGTCTCACATTTAGGTCTTTCATCCATTTTGAGTCTATTTTTGTGTATGGTATAAGTAAATAGTCCAGTTTCATTCTTCTGCATGTGGCTGTCCAATTTTCCCAACCTGCTTTGTCGAAGATTAGTTGACCATAGAGTTGAGGGTCCATTTCTGGGTTCTCTGTTCTGTTCCGTTGATCTATGTGTTTGTTTTTGTGTCAGTACCATACTTTCTTGATGATTACAGCTTTGTAATAGACCTTAAAGTCCGGAATTGTGATGCCACCAGTTTTGGTTTTCTTTTTGAACATTCCTTTGGCTATTTGGGGTCTTTTCTGGTTCCATACACATTTTAGGATTGTTTGTTCCAGCTCTGTGGAAAAAGTTGATGGTATTTTGATAAGGATTGCATTGAATGTGTAGATTGCTCTAGGTGGCATAGACATTTTAACAATATTTGTTCTTCCAATCCATGAGTATGGAATGTTTTTCCATTTCTTTGTGTCTTCCTCAATTTCTTTCATGAGTGTTCTGTAGTTTTTAGAGTACAGATCCTTTGCCTCTTTGGTGAGGTTTATTCCTAGGTATCTTATGGTTTGAGAGGCAATTGTAAATGGGATCAACTCCTTAATTTCTCTTTCTTCTGTCTCATTGTTAGTGTATAGAATTGCAACTGATTTCTGTGCATTGATTTTATATCCTGCCACATTGCTGAATTCCTGTATGAGTTCTAGCAATTTTGGGGTAGAGTCTTTTGGGTTTTTCACATAGAGTATCATGTCATATGCAAAGAATGAGAGTTTGACTTCTTCTTTGCTGATTCGGATGCCTTTGATTTCTTTTTGTTGTCTGATTGCTGAGGGTAGGACTTCTAGTACTATGTTGAACAGCAGTGGTGATAGTGGCACTATCCCTGCTGTGTTCCTGATCTTAGGGGAAAAGCTCTCAGTTTTTCTCCATTGAGAATGATGTTCAATGTGGGATTTTTGTAGATGGCTTTTATTATACTGAGGTATGTTCCCTCTATCCCTATACTCTGAAGAGGTTTAATCAAGAAAGGATGCTGTACTTTATCAAATGCTTTTTCTGCATTTATTGAGAGGATCATATGGTTCTTGTCCTTTCTTTTATTAATGTAGTATATCACATTGATTGATTTGCGGATGTTGAACCAACCTTGCAGCCCATGAATAAATCCTACTTGGTCATGGTATTGCCCTAGCGCTGGAGTTTTGCAGTTCTCATTGATAGGTGAACTTGGTCTTGGCTGGATGTTCTTGCTGATCTTCTAGGGGAGGGGCTTGTTGCTTAGATTCTCAAGTGTCTTTGCCCCAGGGATTGCTAGGGGGCCAGGCTAAATAATCTGCTCCAGTTTGCTCTTTATGGCTTTTGTTCCCTCAAGGCTCTCTGCAGCTTTAGAGGATGAGAATGAAAATGGCAGCCTCCCAATCTCCAGCCCAGAGCCAAGAGCTCATGGCCCCACCACTCAGTGCACCCTCAGGGAAAAGCAGTCAATCACTCCTGTCTCCCTGGCCTCTGTCTGCACTCCATGTTCACCCAGCCCGTGACTGAGCATTTCTATCTCAGGCATAGGACGCTGTTTTGAGTCTCCAAACCTTGCAGATTCCTGTGGCTCACACCTGTGCCACTCCTCCCAGGGTTTCACTGATTCTGCCACATCTTGGCCCCCTGCTCAGAGAGCAGTCACTGGACCATCCCTCTATTGGTGGTTTATGGCGATTCCGGGGCTGAGAGTCCACTCCTGGGCTTGCTGATTGCAGCCAACTTCCCCGCTCTGATGCCTGGGAGCTCTGTGGCACTCAGGCTCCCCCGGTCTTCCTGTGACCCCGAGGGTCCTGAGACCTCACTGTCCCACCTAGAGTTCCGCCCCCACTTAGCCACTTGAGTCCCTTTCAGGCCAGGGCGTCCCTCACCAGAGCAGACTTCTGAAAGTTCTGATTTTGCACTCTGCTGCTATATCACTTTCTGGTTGATGGCTGACGGAGGCTCCCCCCACCCACGGTTTATCTTCCCATCTATTGCCTCAGATTCACTTCTCTGTACATTCTACCTTGCAGAAAGTGGTTGCTTTTCTGTTTGTAGAGTTGCAGCTGTTCTTTTTTTAGATCTCTGGTTGAGTTCCCAGATGTTCAGAATGATTTGATAGCTATCTAACTGAATTCCTGGGACCAGATGAAACTAAGGTCTCCTACTCCTCCGCCATCTTGGACTCCTCCCCATCCCTTTACTTTCATTGTGCATATGTTTTTAGTTCTGACGTGAGTCTCTTGTAAGCGGTACCTAGATGGGCCTTGCTTTTTTATCCATTTTGTCACCCTATGTCTTTTGATTA